GTGTGTGTGTGTGTGTGCAGTACACTTATGATATTACATTTTTTGCTGTCTTTGTATTAGCTTTAAAATTTATTTATTAGATTAGATATAATTATAGGTTTTTTTAGAACAACAGAAAATATGTTACGTAATACAAAATTAATTTTTTAAATATATTTTTATTATTTTTAATTATATATTTTTATATATAATTATATGTTTCTTGATTATTATTGATTTCATACTATTTTATTAAAAGCACTGTTCCATTTACATTAAATATTAATTACAATTGAGATACCTGTATATAATAAAATGCGTATGGAGTTGTATGAAGAGAAAAACAAATCGGTCATTCAAAATCACGATATTTAATAATTATTAATAATTAGCCTTTTCTTATTGTTATTTTTTTCTTAATTTCGTCAATAATACCTGCATCAGGAACACTCTGGTGTGGTAGTGGAGATATCGCAAAAAGGGAAACCGATCTTGGTCTTTTCAAGAAAACAGACGCTTGTTGCAGAGCACACGATAATTGCAAAAATAATATATTAGCTGGCAAAACAGAGGTCAATGTTAAGAACAACGGTATTTTCACAAGGTAACTGAACGAGTGAAATTATATGAGCATTATTATCAATTCTCACACATTTATATCTTTGTTAGTTTTTTTAATCCTACGTCTGAAATAAATCCAGTAATGCATATATTATTTTCATATTTTTATTAAACATAAATTTTACATGACGAATGCGAAACATAAATTTAATTAATTTGTTTTTGGTTTTATCAAATTATATATTTAAATATAAAACCATTTGGTTTATATTAATATTTTGACAATTCTTAATTAGTTTTCTGATAATAGATCTGCTTGTGCTTGTGACCATGCGTTCTACCACTGTCTGAAAAATGTCTCTAGTGTAGTTAGCAGCGACATCGGAGTTACATACTTCAATGTACTGCAACCACAGTGTTTCCAATGTATATGCCCGACAGATGATTGCAAGTAAGATATATTAAAGATATACAATTATATTTATTAATATTTGCGATCTATTTCATTAATTTTTACTTAAATCATAAATCTAAAAAATGAATCTAATTTTAAACTGTAGGAAAAGAATCTTATTACAATATAATTTATCTCGATTGTTTTTAATGCATTAGATACTTTCAAAATATAAAATATAAAAATGTAGAAATATAAAAATTTCAATAAAATTTAATCGAAATGTCTAATTTTCAGTCTTAATGATGGCACGGAGTGCAAAGATCATTGCACAAAGTATGAATGGATCGACAATCCCAAGTATATTTATCTCCTTGAATAGATCACAGATTCAAGTTTTGTGAAAAAAGAAAACATTCTTTTATTTTAAGAGATCTAATTCTAAAGCAAAATTTTTAAAAATTTATTTATTAAATAAATACTTTTTGTCGCAATTTGTTACTCTGAACATAATTGCAGTTTTTTCATTTTTATTTTTAGTCTTATATTTTATAATATTTACAATTTTATTTAGAATGTATGAGAGAGGGTAGAGCAAGAGAAAGAGAAAGATAATTCTTAGATTAAGATAGATAAAAAAATAAAAGATATTTCTTATTGAGAGGCTATTATTGTATGTATTCTAAAAAATGTATGTATTCTAAAAATATATTTTAATACATGTAATGATGCATAGTGTAATTGAAATATGAAAATAAAAATAAAACAGAATTTAAAGATTGCAATAAACTGTCTATCCTTTATTTTCTTAATTAAAATTTTTCTTAATAACTTTGATGATATATTTAGTTTAAGATAGCTATACAATGATAAGAAAATAATATAGACTTGTTTGTGAAAAATAATATGATGAATTAACGGCCAAATTTGAGCAAATTAAAGATGTAAGATGTAAGATGTATGAGATGTAAGAGATATGAGAGCATGATTTTATTGTCCAAAATATAGAATAATACATCTTTTAATTAAATTATTTATATTGAAATTAATTTTACTTTAATTATACTTTTTGATAGGTTAATATAAAATGATTAATATAAAATAGAACAAATTATTAAAACTTATTCATAGGACGTGATCTCGGTCATTTATCAACAGTGCATTATCGCATTTACTGGAACGATTTATTTCTTTGCACTTGTTATTTTTTTTAAGCAGATCAACTCGATTGCAAGTTGTAATTTTTATGTATTATTATATATGTAAGGATTATATAACGTTTTTCTAATTGAAAATTTATATATTCTTACAGAAATCCAATTTAATACTACTCAATATAACACTGGCTTATTATTTATTTCTTATAGTAAAAGTTCCGAATAATAGTGTTTTTAATACTCACACTAAGTAATTAATCACTACCTTTCTATTAAATTTCTAGGAGGGTGTATTGTGTGAAGTTTTGTAATGCACGGTCTAATTATGAGATACGGTGAGATTATACAGGTGATATCTATTAATCACATTTTTTTAATTATCGTGTAAACTTGATACCTAAAGTACAAAGTGCCATATAGACACTTAATAAGATATAACATAAAGCATGTTCATTCATAAATGATACAGATAAGTGATTAATTGCGATGTTTTGCAGAATGTCTATTAATAATAGATCGTCTGTTGCATTGTACATGTACGTGACATATATTATATTTTACAGATGTCATAACAAATGAAAAAGAAGAAAGGCAAGCAGATGTGGTTTATGCAAAATTCTCCAATTGTCAAACCATATCAAACAATTATTTAGGCGAGTGTTTATTGTAATTTTGTCGCTTGTTGCTCGGATGAATGTGAACTGTGAATTTTTATCTCTATTGTCCATATAGATAATATCGTATGATATTGCAGAATTTTCTTTGGACCGACATCCTTGATATATGCACAAGTGTTAAACGATAAATTTTAATATGACTAATGCGTCAGGTTATTCGATTTTATGTGCTTCCGCCTGCGCTTTGGTATCGACAGTATTTAAGAGAAGTGTTATCGATGTTAATTCTCATCATCAGTCAGTTCTAGCCAGGTAAGCAGACGAGTCATATCGCGAAATTTTCCACATATAGATGAGCGAGATCCTTAAGCTCGAAACTTATCTATTAATCTGTTGCTCATTATATCGTGCCAACTTAAAATCTCACCACACATGTTACTTTTTTTAACTATTTTAATGAAAAATCTATATATATTTTATATTATATTTTATGTGATATATATATATAATTATATAATTAATAATTATATAATATATAATTAATTGTTTATTCTTTCTTAATATTGTCAATATTATATTATCTTTCAGTTTTGAATGCAATTAATCTTGTTTACACTGTTAAATTATAAAAGTTGTTTAAGAAATTAAAAGTAAATTTTAATTTTAATTAAAAAAAAATTTTCTGTATTAAAGATTTTTTTCAGAAACAATTATTTACATGTTTTCTTTTTATTATGTAGATAAATATTTTTATTGCTTACAAAGAACAGATAAATATTTTTTTAGTTACAAACTTCTTGCTCTATAAAAGGAGATATTAGTATGTAAATTCAAACTTATGAACTTATTTGAATTCGCAATATGCACAGAAATTTGAGTTTGCAAAAGGTGTAAAGTTAACAATAAACAACATATGTTTCCATGTCGAATTGGGCAATATAAATAAATATTTTTTCTTTTTTTCCAAGATATTTTCTTTACATTTGTATTTATAAAATATTGAGATAATTTTTCTATTATAATAATATTATTGTGGTTTTTACCATTAAAGGTAATTCTTTATTTTCCATTTAAAATTAATTTTATATTAAGTAATAGATCAAACACTGACTAATGACTCAATAAACTTGATATAATTGTTAATTGTTAAAATATCTTTATTTTATTAATTCATATATCTTTTGTACTTTTAAAGAAATCTTTTCTTATAGAAGATTGGAAAACTTTATATGCGTACTAATGTAAGAGACAGTTTTTTTTCTCAAATATTTTTTGTATTTTTTGTCGGGGAATATTATCATTTCCGATTGTAGATGATGATTATTTATGATTATCTTAATTATATTATCTTTGATTTTTTTTATTCAATCGGTCTATGATGTATACATCATATTAAAAAAATATTTCTTTTCCATTGAGCATAAGCATAATCAGAAGCATAATTCAGAAGCATAATCATTTACTAAGTGCTTAATAATAAGCTTTTATATCTGATAATATATTTTTTTAGATATAAAAGAATATATTAATCGGATATAAAAGCTCACTAAGGGGCTCATTGTGCTTTTGGATGTATCTTTTATCTTGTCAGTATTTATTTCAGGTGAAATAGATAGTACGATGTCGCGTGTATTCGTTTATCTTTCCATATTCTTCATCCTTGGCATCGTTATTCAATTCGGAGATTGTGAAGATATTGAGAATATTGAGAATAAGGAATGTGAAAATGTTAATATCATACCTGGTTCCGACGAAACTCGTATAGCTTTCTGGGAAAAGCTAGGGAAAAAGATCTTGGGAAAGGACAAGTCTGTTTCACAATCTGAAGATGGAGAATCTTATGATAATGATCGTGAAATATTGAAAGAATACATTCACGCTATCTTTCCAGGTAACTCAATTATCTAAAGTTAATAAATTTACCGAAGAATAAGAATATTTAGAAGATATCTTAAATAATACTACAAACTTTATTTTTAATATTTTTACAATATCTTTTACTCTTCTATCTTATCTGGCTTGATAGTGCACTCTTATATTAAGATGCATAAATAAATTTAATATTTTACGTGAAAAGAAAGAGGATTCATGAAAGAATTAATAACAAACGAATATTTGCAAAATTCATATTGCATTTAAGATCGATTTTAAAATAGTTCTATTTTATATGGAAGTAAACTACGCATGATTGATTTTAATACGTTTTTTGATGACAATTAATGAGTTTATAATAAAAACAATAATCAGAAAAAAACTAAAAATATAATTGGAAATAAGAACATTTGATGAATGTTTGTGAATTATGAAACACGAATGATTGTTTTCATACATAAGATACATATATTATATTAATTATAGATTATAGATATAATAATTATAGATATATTATTAATTATACGTTATAGATAATTATATATGAATTTGTTATTTAATTAAACTTTCTTAAAGATCATTGATTTTTAATGGATATTAATTGATTATGCATATTTTGATTTTTATTTTGATTATTTATATTAAAAACACAATTTTTCTAATCAAAAGTTTTCATCTTCAACAGACTTCTTTCAATGCGATACAATTTAATACCTTTCAATATTTTTCTGATAGAAATCTGGAGAAGGAAAAGCAATAAATTCTTCGAAGGTTTTTACATCACTTTTAAATAGGTTTTTCCACTAAAAAGCCGTCCAAGTATTTGAAAAAATAATAATTCGTGATAGATTATAGAAGAATAAAAGGAGAGAAAATGAAGAGAAGAGAATTTCATACTTCTTTTTCAATTTTGCTTAATTTTTTTACAATTTGTTTTGCAATGTATGATTGATCATTCTCGTAAAGCATAATACATCCCGTCTATTACTAATGCTGGTTGCTAAATGCCAAATTGTTCATACGTAATATCAATTTCTTGACAGCATTTATCAATATTACTGACAGTTTATCTTGTTTTGAGAACGCGAGAAAAATGAATGACACCTTTTGCTAACCATCATTTTTTAGGATAATTATAATAGAAAATGCTACGTGAAATAAAATTAATTTTTTATTTACATTTTGATTATATGTATGTTTCTTGATTGTTAATGATTTAATGTTAATTAATGTAATTTTATTAAAAATATTTATATCAGATATTGATTACGATTGCATTATTTATGCAATAAAATATGGAGTTATAAGAAAAAAGAAGAATCAGTCACGTTATCATTAATTGCGTATTAAAATTAACTCGTTTTTATTATTTTTCCTTTCACCAATAATATTTATATCAGGAACAGTCTGGTGCGGTGATGGAGATCGCGCAAAAAACGACAGTGACCTCGGTCGCTTCAATGATACAGATGCTTGTTGCAGAAAGCATGATAAGTGTCAAAACGATTTATTAGCTGGTAAAACGAAACTCAATCTTAAAAATAATGGCGCTTATACAAGGTAATTGCCAATGAGATTATACAAGTATTATCCTCAATACTTATCATATAACATTCGTCATTTTATTTTTTATCATTAATATCTAAGAAAAATCTAATAATGCTTATTTTGATATTCAAACATAAATTTTACATGATAAATTGCAAAATATAAATTTAATATAAGTTCTTGTTTCATCAAACATATTGTATATTTAAACATAATGCTTTTAATTCATGTTAATTTTATTGACAATTTTTAGGTTTCTTAACTAATTTTATTATGATCATAGATCTGCTTGTGATTGCGACCATAAGTTTTACAAATGTCTGAAAAGAGTCAACAGTATGCTCAGCAACGGAATTGGGAAGACGTATTTCAATCTACTGAAACCGCAATGTTTCCGATGTGTATGCCTGACAGATGATTGCAAGTAAGATACAATAAAAATATACAATTATATTTATTAATAGTTACGATCGATTTCATTAACTCTAATTTTATATAAACAAATGAATCTAAATTTAAACTATAAGAAAAGAATTTTATACAGTATAACATAATCGTTTATATCAATTATTTTCTTTGCATTAGATATTTTAAAATGTAAATAAAAATTCCGGCAAAGTTTAATCGAAATATTTAAATTTCAGTCATGATGATGGCACGGAGTGCAAGAATCACTGCAAGAAATATCAATGGTTAGACAACTCGAAGTATTAATTAACGATAGACATTCAAATTTTGTGATCGCAGAATTATAAAATTACCTTCTTTCTCTTTTTTGTTTAAATTGAATATTTATTCTGAATAAGATTTTGAGTGTTTTATAATGAATGCTCAATTTAAAAGAGAAAGAGAAAGGATACGAAAAAGAGGTACATATAAAAATAATTTCTTAGAAAGAATAATTTATATATTTATTTTCTTATCTATCTTAAGAATCACTTTCTGTTTTTTTTCTTTTAAATTAAGTCCATCCATTTTAAATAAAATTGTGAATCTTGTAAAACATTCAAAATATATTTTACAATAATTACAATTTTATTTAGAATAAATGCCTAATTTAAACAAGGAAGAAAAAGAAAGTGATTCTCTTAAGGTAGATGAAAAAACAATCTATTTTTTTTAAAGCAATTATAATATGTATACTGATATATTTTAAAAATTATATATATATATATATATATATTTGTGTATATGTATGATTTATTTTAATAGATATATTACATATTATAATGTAATAAAAATATAATGTACAATGACAATAAAATAGAACTTAATGATTGCAATGAACTATCTGTGTTTTTTATCTTTTTAATCGAAATCTTTATTAGTAATCCTAACGGTATACTTAGTTTAAGATAGCTATACAATTATTGATACTAATTACACATGATAATGATTTATCATTTATTTATGTATATTACATATTATCTTTTACATGATGTTAATTTTCATTGAATAATTAATTATTTATAGTAAAATGCTATCATAAATTTCTTTAGACAATATGTAATATTCAACAAATTTCGATTATATTTTTTGGCGGCACCCCTCTTTTAATTACGTGCGGAATCGTTTTGGGAACCATACTGAAAATAAAATAAATAAGGATGAATCAAAAAACAAAATTGAAGCAAAGAATCGAGATGGAACGAATTAAATGTTCTTTATTGAAAACTTACGTGATGCAATCGATAATCGGACAGACGGACAAGCAAAGCGTACATCCAGTGCAATCATCTGTCACTTTTGGAATATGAGTATCGGGATCGAAGGTGATTGCCTGGTACCCGGAATCTGCGCAAGCCATATAACACTTACCGCAATTTATGCACATATCCTGGAAAACGAAAAATAAATGTGAATAAAATAAAATTGAATCTTGTTGAGTGATATCAGATGCCACTGATTGAAACATCATTCAACATACATCGTCGATCAAAGCGATTACTTGTTTCCTGTTGTCCAATTCCTTGTAGCTGCTAATGTGATTCAACGCTTTACCAATTACATCTTTGACAGTAGGTATCGGTGCAATCGGTTCTGGAGCCGGTCGTGTTGTCTTCACGACCTGATCTAAGGGATTCGAATTTGCTTTTAGCTCGGCTATCTTCCTTTCACGCAGCCTTTGGTATACACCAAAATATGGTATGTTCTGGAAAAAATATTTTAAAAAATATTTTTGTCTATTGCGCAGTATATTAATTGATAATTCTTACTTTTCCAAGGGCGTGCTGCAACGAAACAGGTTTGCCTTTTTGATGTTTGAATGTCGGTGGACTCTGACCGTCCCAATCCTTCACCTGTGCCAAGCTTTTCAGATATAATAATGCTTTTAAGCCAGTCACATAATCATTTATTACGGTGAAATCCTGATTCTGAATAGCGCTGCAGATCTACATTGAAAATATTCGGTTAGTATTTTGGTTCGGTTTTTCATTTTATAACTTTGTTGGAAAATCAATATGCATTTTTAAGTGCAGATTTAACTTTTGTTCTAAAATAATGATATAATATCCAACAGTCGAGAGGAAACAATTAGAAACAAAATTAAGAGTACGAGTAGATTTAACAGTACTTGGACAACCGATGCACCGCAATGTAAGAACTGCAGAGTAACATCGGCCGAGTCCACGCCACCGGTGCCGAGTATTGGGAATCCTGGAAGGTGTTTCGAAATCGTTGAAATAGCTCTCAAGGCTTGGGGCCTGGTAGCATTTCCTGATACTCCACCATACGTTGTGGATTTATTGAGGCCGACCGCAGGCCATGGAGTCGCATCGGCATGCAGCCCCATTAATCCTGATACTGTGTTAATGGCAGTAACACCATCAGCCTTGCCTATATCATATCAATTATTTATTAGTTAAATAAATGTTATAATAATTCGTTTTCAACATATAACTCTTTGTAAAAATTTAATTAGATTAAGAATTTTAGATTTAAATATATTGATATTATTGATAAGAAAATATTAAATACGTTCGGTTTAATCAGTATATATCGGTTTAATTTTATATTAATATTTCAAAATAATTATAACTACCCTCGTAAGCTGCCTTGGCAATGGAAAGGATGTCAGTTATGTTGGGTGTTAGTTTTATAAAAAATGGTATCTTGACGGCTTCGCGAACCCATCTGGAAATATTTCTAACCAATTCGGGATCCTGAAGCCAATTTTATTTTTTTATTAATTTTATATTTTGAATTATAATAAAAAAGAAGAAAAATGGACAAACCTGTCCACAGGCCAAACCCATTCCTGATTCACCCATACCATGTGGACAAGATAGATTTAATTCCAAGCCGTCAGAACCAGCCGCTTCCGCTTTTCTCGCCAATTCTGTCCAATCGGCTCTGTTATACGTACACATAATACTTGCGATGACAATCTGCATAAAAATATATGATAAAATGAAAGATCGATCATCAGTAATTAATATACAATTGTTTCAATTTTATTATTCTTGTAAATTTTATTATATATTTTTTTTTAGAAAATTATATTTACTTTTGTAGGGAAATCTCGCTTCAACTCAGTAATACTGCCACACCAATAATCGGCGGTTTTTTCGGATATCAACTCGATGTTCAGGAAGCTGCCTTGCTCAGGTCCGTAATGATGACGAGATGTAGTGCCTTTGATAATACGTGGCGATACATTGATGACGAGATCCTGTAACGAAGTATTGAAAACATTATTTGAAAATGAGATACGTTTGTGACATGGCAATCAATCTTTAAATACCTTAAAATACCTTATCTAAAGAGAAGGTTTTTGTGACAGCAAAAGCCCAACCGGCTTCAAAAGCTCTCCGAATCATTGCACTGGACGTACAGGGTGGTGCAGAAGCGAGACCAAAAGGATTTTCGAATTTCATCCCGCATATCTTAACGCTGAGGTCAACATCATCAATGGCGGTATGGAATTTTGGTAATTGCGGGATTTCTGGCACTATCAAGCCATAGAGTTCCTAAATAAATAAGCAAAAATAAAAAATAGTTAAATAAATCATTTTATCTATTTTATATTTATCTATTTTATATAAACATATTATAATAAACATATGTTGGATATGGAACAAATCCATATATAGAACAAATCTAATTTTATTTTACGTTTTCGTAAACATAAGTGAAAATAAATTTATTCTCATTGTATTAATTATTGCTACATTATTGTATTAGTTATTGTTACATTATTATATTAGTATAATGTTTTATTTGCTCAGATCGTATATTTTATCCTGATAAAATTCTACACTTTTGTATAAATATTTTATATAAAAAACTAGCAACTTTATATTGATACTTGATAAAGACATTGTACTAAATGTACTAACACACCTGTATGTATTTGTGAATATACCATGCAGCTGTTTTTCCATCATTCACAGATTCCACGGTTGTCTGAGCAACACCTGCAAGGTCACCTCCACAAAATACACCTGGTACCGATGTCATCATTGTAGTCTCGTCCACTTCCGGTAGGTTCCAGCCATTTATTTCAACCGGTATCATAGCACGTTTCACTATTTTTGTAATAAAAACGCAATTTCTTTTTATTTTTTTATTTCTACTTTATTCACATCGTTTTTATTTTTTTATTTAATTCATACATATGTGTATATATTAATTTTAATTTGTATAATATAAAAAATTACATTTTAAAATTACATTTGTTTCTATTATTTATTTCTAAAATGTTTAACATGTCTACATTATAATATATAAAGAACATTACTACTCACCAGTAGAATCATACAGTCCCGAACCGAAAGCCGAAATCACGAAATCTGCCTTCAAGACAACTTTTTGCTCTTCGTCTTCTATCCATTCACCATTTTCATTCTGTTCAGTTCTGCAAAACTCAATTGCGGCGATCCTCTCATTGCGAATGATGACTCGCTTCGGCGATTGGAAAGGTATGAATTCGCATTTTTCTTCCTTTGCCAGATCCATCTAAATAATTTAAGGACATCAAATTTTGATCTTTCTAAATATTTTGAAATATCCTCTAACATAACTTTTTCATTTTTAAGTATTTCTAGATTTGAAGATTAAAGTTTAAGAAGTGTATTTTACAAACGCGGTGAACGATTACCTCTTCTGGAACTGCCCGCACGTTGGTGAAGCCTTTTCGAAAGACAATAAAGACTTTTTTGGCACCACATCGCAAAGCAGAAGTGGCGCAATCGAATGCGGTATCTCCCGCACCAAGAATGATCACATTGCCTCGAAGAGATGGAAATTTCTGATTCTTACAAGCGCACATTCCCGGCTTACTACTTTTTGCAACGATTGGCAGAAAACTTTTTGAGGTAAAAAAGCCCATTTCCGATGTAAGATTTTCGAAGATTGGTATATTCTTTGGATCAGGTAATCCAATACCCAAAAAGATCGCTTTGTATCCAGCATGTTGAAGACCCTAAAATATTTTCAATTTTATTAAAATTAATTGTAAATTCTTGTAGAATAATTTCTTCTAAAATTTAGAAGATGACGGCAAAATTTAAAAATGCAATAAGTTTATATTTTCAAATCAATGCAACAAAAATAGACAAAAGGTTTTTAAGTTAATTTTACCTGTATTGTCAAATCTTCTTCAGATAGTGATCTTTCCAATTCAATTTTCACTCCTAAATCCCTGACGAGATCCACTTCAAAGTTGACAACATCATACGGAAGTCTATACTGTGGTATTTCAGAAGAGCTAAGTCCACCAATATATTTTTCTTTCTCGAATATTGTGATATCATTATAACCGAGTCGAGCGAGAAATGTCGCACATGAGAGAGAAGCTGGACCACAACCGAGCAAAGCAATCTTCGTGTTTGCATGAGGTACTGTTTGATTAGGTATTTTAGTCTGAGGTATGTTCATCTGCTTGAAAATCTGGAAAATTAATCTGGACAATTAACATATAAATAATAAAAAAATGTATTATAACTATTTTAAAATTAGATTATATTTAAGCATATAATATGTATTTTTTATTATTTCAAACATTGAAAAAATACTAAAGAAAACATTTTGACAGCATATATAATGAAATTACAATATACATACATATACAATATTATTTAGAAATTTGGTACACATATATCATATTTATTATATTATTAAAATTTTTGTAGAAACATTAGTGAATTTTTTATTTTATTATCACTATTTAATATCACAAGTTAATGAAATAAATATTTCTAAGTAACATTGCTTACATCCATCGCAAAGTGTTGAAGTCCACCAATGTTAATAGGTCCTTCCTCGGTTGCGTAAAGATTACATCCACCCACACAAAGGTCACTAGTTGGGCAAACCATGCCACAGGTGAGACCGAGAGGATTGTCAGACAAAATTGCCTTAGCTGCGCCATAGTAATTCTTGTTGGAAATTGAGGTAATGAAGGATTTGATGTCTAGTTGTGTGGGACAGGATTTTTGACAAGGTGCATCGACACATTTTAAACAACGTGCTGCTTCTTTCAAAGCTCCACGCTCGCTCAATGTAGTGTGCTTGATGTCATCAAAGTTCTTTGTCAAAGACATGCAACTCTGAGGAAAAAATAGAAAAATTAAGTAAGTTCTATAAATTTTAGAATTAAATATATAATTTATAAATAAAAATATTTTTTATAGAATATATTGTCAAGAATTTATTATTATTTAATCTTTGATAAATATTATATTGTCTATAAGAATCATTTTTAGGACAAACTTTAAATTGATTAATTAATATTTTTGAAAAATCTATTACTTAAAAATCTATTACTCTTGTGCATTAATTTTTATATTTTATAAAATTTTTAGAAATAATATTTGACATTTGTTTTTATTTTATTTCAATGAGAATTTTTTCATGTAGGCTTATATAAAAATTTTATATTATATAAAAGACAGTGATGTTTTAACAGAAAACACATAACGAGAGAAAACACATAACAAGAGATAATCTTATCGACTGCTTTGTATCTTTTAAACATCACGTAACATTTGATAATATGATAGCCACAAATAATACGAATTATATGACTGAAATATGACTGAAATTAATGATATTTTTATAGTAAATATAGTTTATAATAATAATTTAATAATAAAATTTAATAAATACTCTTCTCTCTCTCTCTCTCTCTCTCTCTCTCTCTCTCTCTCTCTCCCTCTCTCTTGTATACATTTAGATTTAATATTTTACAATTCGATTTAAACTTACATCACATTTCTCATGGATATTTCTTTTCCAGTGTTCTTTGTTCTGTTTGGTACGCGCCGATGGCACAAGATTTGCATGAAGTTTGATTTTCGAATTGATGTTTAGTATATTCTAAAATATATATAATTTATCATTAGTCGACATTATAATAACAAGTCATCATAATTCTCGTTGATATGTGATAATGATAAATAAGTGTAAATATGTGATAAAGAAAGTAAAGAAAAGTAATATGTAATAAAGAAAAATAAAAGACAAATAAAAATTGTTAAAAGAAATTTCTATTTCAAAAATGCAAAAGTTCCTTGTAATATTTATAAACTTTAGTTTACTCAAACTTATAAAGATTCATCGATGATTGCCGTAAATGCCTTTAAAAGATAACAAAATTAAGGAAATAAAAAACCTTGTTATAAAATGTAATATAAAAAGCTTTAAATCAAAAAGCTTTACATTTAAAAATATGTTATATTGTAAAAAATATTAATTCAAAATAGAATGTGCAAAGATACATGCAGTAACAAAAGAAACACAGAATTGAATCATTATGAAAACAATGAAAACGATTTTATTTAAAGCTAAGTTTAAGCTTTCAAGAATTTGAAGAGAAGTCAATTGGACTGATATATAACAAACATCTTTATTATTCAGATCTGCGAATATCTTTTCAATATCTTTGACAGTTTAAAAGTAGAGAAGTCATTTATTTGCGTCACGCACTAAAAATTCGCACTTACTTCGATATCAGGCACATCCTTGCTCAACATCGATGTTAACGATGCCATTTTCCGAGCATGAACGAAGTAGCACGCGATTTAGCGTGTCAAGTTTGTGTAAGCGGATCGATAATTGGAAAACCGGTATAATGAGTTTGATTGAGAATTGCCAGAATGGATTGCGGACAGGTAACTGAACAGGTAACTGAAACAGGTAACTGAAGCAACTCGCACTTCGAGTTTACCTGCCGGATAGATAGCGAAATTCTGAGAATCACAACGATTCACTTGGATATTCGTGCCTGTACTGAGCCTGTACTGGACACTCACTTTATCGTTATGTCGACGATATCATCTGTGACATAGCATCACGTCACGACGTTGCACACAAATGTATATTGAGATAATCAGAGATAAAAAAAGTATCTGGTAGATACGAGAATAATGCTTAGTTATTTATTCGCTTCTCATTCGAACTACAATTCGCCTTGTATTTTATAAGTTTTTATCTTATATTTTTGTATCTATTTCGGGTATTTGGCTTAGAATAATGAAACTTATAGCATATGTTTATGCATGACGCATTCGGTATGACGACGGTAAAACCGGTAAATATTGCATCCATCGCTTAATATATCTTTAAATATTTTAAAAGCTTAATATATTTTAATATATTTTAAAAACAAATATTATATTGAATTTTCGAATATTTCGTAAATATTAATGATGAGTGATAAAAGATTAACTTAATTTGTCATCAATTATTATTACAATTAATTTTTATATAAATATACTAGTCAAAATTCTTTTTTAATTTCTCGAGGATTTAAGGATCAACTAAACTAAACACATTGTGCTATCGAATTGTCAACGTATGCTATCAAAACTAACAATGAATTATTCCGCGGAACTGCTATTTGCATGTCGTCACTCCAAACTGAAACTGCATAAAGGGAATAGAAGATAGCCTGGCTTAATCAATTATTTCTATATAAATTGTGCGTCAATTGCTTTCGTAATTGAACGTAATTGCGAGCTTGATAAGCCAAACAGTTCGTAATTTATATGCGCATATGATGAAAGCGGAGCGACTCGATTGATTACAAGGCAGCATTGCATAATGCTATAATTTCTGTCTTCGAGATCTTGCGGAATTTCTCTGAATTAGAGAAGCCCGTCTAGTATTACAAAAGCACTTCAATTTGAGAGATTCAATTGAAAGGAAATACTCAGATATCATGGCACATTGTACCTTCGTGGAGTATCACGAGTAATATGCAATAAGAGACAGTTGAGTTTCACAGATGATTCTTGTACTTCTTCAACATATAGTTTAAAACTACAGTGTAATATTTTATATATGCAAATTATAAGTATTTTATTTGTCTCTTCTAATTAATTAATTTGTAAATTATATAATTTTGTAATTTAAAAATAAGATTAATATCTGCGGAATTCTTATTAGATTTTGATTTTTATCAAATTATGATTCTCGCATAATAAACATAATGGCTGATGAGTGATAAGCGATTTAATAAAAACTTTATTTTTCAAATTGTTATGATTAGAATTCAATTAATTAGTTAAATTAAATTAAGACTAAAGTGAAAAAATGAAGAAATTGTGACTTAAAAGAAACATAAGAAAATCAAAAGATTCCTCATAGAATATCTTTATCAAATTAAAGCTTCAGGTTTTCATAAAGCTCGATTCTTCAATTAGAAAATGAGGAAGGAACGAGGAATGAGTGTACCGAATTTTCATCTAAGGGTGAGCTTAACGATCGTCTATTTCTTGGGCACGTGGCCTCCACATACGGGCACATATCGCTTTCTATATCTGCTTTATACCGTCTGTAGCTTCACTTTCATATTGGGTATACTGCTCGCTGCTGAGATAGCAAATGTTTTCATGAACTGGGGAGATATGTCGAAACTTGTCGCAGTTGCGACTTTATTGATGACGAATTGCACTCACGCTTCTAAGGTAATTGAAATTATTATCGAGTCTGTAATTTTGATGGTATTTTTTATCATTTAAGACTTCAATTACAGCGATATTAACTTATGTGTGACATATGTAATGTGACATCACGCTTGACGTAATGTCAGGCTTTTGGCATAATATTATGCTTGTTGTCAGTCTTAAAAATTTCATTTGTATATTATATTGAATATTATTTTATTATGTTCAAAATTTTTCATTATCTTCTTTTTTTAAATTTTAATGAAATAATGCAATTTTTATACATTTCTTGTTTATATTTTCATTTTCATAACTTTGCATAATAAAGGACATATTTCTTCATTTAAATAATTATTAAATAGTTAATACAGAAAAAATATATTTTTAATTCTTTTATGCAAATAATTATATCTAATTTTTGTAGTTTGAAATTTTTTTCTATCTTGTGTATTTATTTATTATTAATTAACAATTGTAAATATCTTATTTTTTCAATGAAAATTGAAGAAATAAAGCATTTATTCTTTCTATTAATAATTTATTCATAACTTAACTAAAAAGAGAACAATACCAGGTGCGATGGTGGTGTAATGGTTAGCATAGTTGCCTTCCAAGCAGTTGATCCGGGTTCGATTCCCGGCCATCGCACATCTTCTTTTTTTTCTTTTATTATGAAATTTTATCATTTAAATAAAATTTTCCAAGTATAATAATGATAAATCCTTTTTTAAAACAATTTTCTTTTTAAATATTCTCGATATAATTAACTTTTTTGAACTCTACTATACAGATTTTTTTTAATAAAATTAAAATTTTCAAAGAGAAAAAAGAAATAAAATATCAATATATTCAGGTGATCGTTCTTCTTCGTCGTCAGATGAGGATCCAGGCACTTCTGGATACAGCCAACAGTTCAGCATTTAGTCGCTACGACAAGGAGCAAAAGGACTTGCTCATAAGATACACGTGGAAAGGTATCTTTCATCACGTAGTTTATCAGAGTTTTGGTGCGATTGCGGTATTTTGCTGGGGCATTACCCCGATCACTGATTTAGTCGCCGGTCGTTCGCGTCGACTACCCATGGAGGGCTGGTATCCTTACAACACGACGATGACTCCAGCCTTCGAGATCACCGCGGGACATCAGGGAATCGCCATCATAATCGCTTGCTTTCATAACGTGGCGATGGACACTCTGATTACAGGCTTGATTACGGTTGCTTGTTGCCAGTTGGCAATCCTAGAACGTCATATTATCTCAATTGATAATGACAAAAAAAGCACATGCAAGGTACAAAGCGATGAGCACAAATTATCTGTGGTTAAAGGAAAAATCAGGTCCTATCAGCTACTCAAGCGATGCGCTGTACACAGCAATATGATATCTCAGTAAGAGATGTTTAAATGATTAGATGGAGCAGAATATTGTCTTTCGTAAAATTATTTTATCTAGAAAATTTCAAGAGATTTTCTTTAAATCTAAAGAGCTAGAATAAAAAAATATAATCGTTGAAGATAAAAAAAATGATGAAATTATTTGAGTTTTAGCTTTGTTTGCATTGATTAATTTCATCGATTAATTGTATCGATTTGCAGTTTTACGAGCGAGATCCAGAACATCTTCGGTACTATCATCTTCTTCCAATTTCTTTCGAATTGCGTAATTATTTGCTTAATCGCCTTCAATTTATCGCAGGTAAATTTGGATTATTTCTATCATCACGTCCGCAAATTCTCATGCGTTTGGTTGCACCGCAGATGAAGGTTTACATCCCGGCTGTACTAATTGGCATGCTGACGTACATGTGCTGTATGACGTATCAGATATTTATTTTCTGCTGGCATGGTAATGAATTATATCTACATGTGAGTATTTCGTCGATGTTTTTATATATTATATATGGACGAACAAAAAGAAACAGATTTTTAGAGCATGCGCCTAGTTACGGCCGCATATTCAAGCAATTGGATTTCCAATACTGAGGCTTTTAAACGCAGTCTTCAAATCATGATGATAAAAGCTCATCGTCCGCTCACTTTAAGTGCTGGCAAGGTCATGTTGCTGTCGTTAGATACCTTTGTTCAGGTTTGTCTAGACAAGCTTCATCAAATGCTTGCAAATGAAGCAAAATTTATTTAAATCCAATGTAAAGGCCAAAATTGTATGCTCTCTTTTTTGTAAAACATAAGCTGTTAGAATTTCAGCTGTGCATTTCAAAACTGCTGTTTTGATATTAAAATAGTTTGCATTTATATTGTATTTATCTTAACTAATATCTGTTATCTAAGAATGGTTCTAAAACCAATTAAATTTCGAAGTAAAATTCTGAAACGTTGTAACGAAATATCTCTTATTTTTTTATATATATTTCAGATAATGCGGATGTCCTATTCAATTTTTACAGTACTTCAAGGTTCGGCTGCTTAATGGCGAATTCACTATTAACATTATTTCGTAGTTACATATTTTCTTTAAAACTATAAATTTATTCAACATTTTTTTGTTATATGTACAAAAATATATATAAAATTTTTGTATACAAAAATATTTTTCATAAATTTTTTTCTCTGTTTTCATTAAGGGTTAAGAAAAGTGATTAACAATTATTTGTTTAACATTAGTAAATTGTACAATACCATTCTTATCAGTTTTCAGTTATTCTGGCTGTATGTTAAAATATTAAAAAATTAAATAGCTTGAATTTCTCAGTTGATTATAGCGCTTCCACCATCACAGCGATACCTTGGCCACCACCAATGCAAGCCGAACCGATACCGAATTTTTTAGCGTTTCGTCTCCTGCAAATGCGGATGTAAATATTAATAAAAATATAATATTAATCAGATAAATTTATTATAAATGCATTTATAATGTTAAAAGATACGGTACCTAAGTTCATGTACCAAGTGAGCAGTGATTCTGCTACCAGAAGCGGCCAATGGGTGTCCTACAGCAATAGCACCACCGTTTACATTCAATTTATTTAGATTCAGATTAAGTTCTTTTGCACACGATAAAGTCTGAGCTCCAAATGCCTCATTGATCTACCAGAGATAATATAATTAATGTATATCGAAAGTAAATATAAATTTTAACTAATCTCTTTATTCACTACTCATATTAATTATTTTAATCATTTTTGAGGAAGCAAGATTTTTATTGCATAGATAGAGATTTCACCTCGACCAGTTCCATATCATCAAGTGTCTTGCCCGTCATTTTAAGCAAGTTCTTGATTGCTGGCGCAGGACCAATTCCCATAATACTTGGTTCTACGCCGACAATGCTATATCCCACTAAACGTGCCAATGGTTTCAAACCTTCTGTCTTAACAGCTTCCTCATTAGCTAAAATAACAACACCTGCTCCGTCGCAGATACCCTGAAAAATAAGAATGGAACTGACTTAAATAAAGTAAAGTAAATCTGAAAAGATTGATATAAAAGTTAACATAAAAGTTATATCTATGAAATGAGAGAAAACGCAGTATATACCGATGCAGAACCAGCTGTGACTAATCCATCTTTCTGGAAAACTGGTTTCAATTTACCGAGTGTTTCTAATGTCGATTGTGGACGTGGATGCTCGTCTACACTAACAATTTTATCTTTTCCCTTAATTTTTACTTGCACAGGTGTTATTTCTTCTTTAAAATAACCCGTGTCATTAGCTGTAATATATTAATTTTTTTAATATATTAATCATTTTAAACTATTTAAATTCTACAATTCCAATTAATTTAATTTAGAAAATAAATATAATTTCATAAGCTAGAGAGAACTTTCGTATTTTACTTATTAATAATAATTAAGTAAGATGTTAATGTAACTACCAGCTTTCCAACGTTGCTGACTACTCAAAGCAAATTGATCAACTTCCTCTCTCTTTAATTTGTATTGAGCACCGAGTTTTTCCGCAGTCAAACCCATGGGTAAATTGCAGTAGGTGTCGAGTAATCCAATCCAGAGTGAGTCCTCGAATTCGTATTTCTGGCCCAAGACAGTGCCATAACGAACGTTTCTCACTATAAAAGGAGCTTGACTCATATTTTCCGCCCCACCTGTTAAGACAATCTTCGATTCTCCCACTAGAATGTTCTGAAAGGAAAAAAATATAAATCGTTAAGATAAACTTTTATTTCTATACTGTTGTTAATCTCTATATTGTTGTTATTCATCTATAGTTTCTATCTATAGTTAATATTCATATTTCTATCTATAGTATATAGATAGAATATATCTATACTGTTATTAATATTCATAGCTGCAATTTATTTTATACTTTCGTAGAATTATATATTTAAAATTATCTACATATATAAAATTTCATACATGTTTGACATATGTATTCGGAGAACTTTGTTCTTTGGAACTTTAGTTTTATAAATATTTTTTTAGAAAATTATAAAATCCTTAATCAACCTGAGCTCCGCTAACAATTGCTTGGAATCCAGAACCACACAATCTATTAACAGCGAATGCCGGCTTTTCTAATGGAATTCCTGATTTCAATGAAACATGTCTTGCCAAAAAACCTCCATCGGATGACGATCCCTATAAAGCAAATGTTAAAGATATGTTAACTGGTAAGAATTGTACAAGCATTTGTGAAGTGTTTATGCAAATATCTACCGGCATGACATGTCCAAATACAACACTATCAATCTTTTCTGGTTTTAGACCTGTTGCCTGGATTGCAGCTGTTGATGCAAGGATTCCTAAGTCAGTTGCACTTTTGTTTACAAACATGCCCCCCATTGTGCCAAATGGGGTGCGCTTTGCAGCGACAATAAAAATACCTGTAAAAGAAGAGCTCAATGAATTAGATCGTTTATTTTATTTTCTTATCTTCTTTTGTCTACTCTCTTTTTTGATTTCTGTTTTGATCTAATATTTTATGTAGGTTATTAGTGTCAAATCTATCAGATTTTTGGAGGAAATTTATGTAGAATATGATATGTATTATATACCTACATAAAATTAAATTATTTCAATTAATGTGCATTACAGATGTACGGTGTTAAGTTAATTTGATAATGTTATAGAAGAAAATATTCTACATTTTTTTTTCTATTTCCAAGGTGTGGCTTATTATGACTTTGATCAAACTCTGATTATTTTAGCCGGCGATTAAAATTCACTTAATGGACTCATCTATAAAAATTTTTAAGAAAAATTTCCAACTATAGAATTTATTCCTGATTCAATCTAGTTTTTCATATGTTAAACAGCAAAAACTGTTCTAGCTATGTTAACAAAATAATACAGATATTATTATTGAATGATACGTAAACTTGTCAAAGTTAAGATAATAATCAGAACCTGATCAAAGTCTCTCTTTTATAACTCGGAATATTAATGAAGATTAGACTTATCAGAAAAATTAGATTTATCTTTATTCAGATTTCATAAATTATGATCACTAAGCATCTTCGAGCGAAGATTCTGATGAGGTAAAAATTGTGAAAGTACCTTTCGTTACAGCTGACATCGTGGTGAGTCACTTCACTTCAAGTCCGCTTTTAGAACTAACACAACCGGAATTTATGATGAAAATGCGAATGATATATCCACTCGAGTGGGATCAAAGTCCGCCACCGGTTGAACATTAATCAGTTAAGATTTATCGAAACGTATGTGCTGCATCATGGCAGTGCGTTAAGAGGGGAGAAACGATGAGACCCGGGAAACTTTTCAACGTTTAACGCTGCCGGTCTCTCTTATCATTCATATCGTCTCTTATCATTTCGTATCTTCGTTATTATTATGTTCGTATTATTACGTTCGTTACATTATATTTACATGTATGTATTTACATTCTCCATCATAGATTTTACATTCTTGTATGAAAAGTTAAATCGCATGTTTCAATCACTATTTTTATATTAAAATTATTCTCAAAAATCAATGCGAATTATTTGTTCTTATTTTTTTCCAGGAGGAAATATTATTTCACTTAGGCGATTGGTATTTATCAACTGCCTTGAATTTATTCATTAAGATTGTATTTTGCATACATATTCTATAATTATTTTTTATCTATTATCATGTGTTACGTTCTTGCCAACAGTTCAATATATGAAATTTCAAAGGTCATGTTTTGCGTATCTAGTCATCGGCTGTTAATAGTCATTCCTACGTAAAAGCTTTTCTTTCTTTACATAATAAAAATAAGACGTAATCCGGATCCTTATCTCGTATAGTTTACTCTTGAAATATCACAAATTTTATTTAAAATCGTGCTATTTATCAGAACATATATTTTACTACACCTTTGACACATAATTTTTCTTGCAACTTTACTCTCCAATTTATTTACGACAAATACAAACTTGAAGAATTCTGTTCAATTAGTCTTACAATAAATAAATTTTTCTAATTTGTGTATGTACTTAATTGCGGAATTATTGTGTGAGAGAAATATCATTTACTTGAAAAAAGTGATATAAATGTCTAAAAAAAAGATGTATATGTCTAGAAGAAATATTTCGATCAAATGTTTAATATATTTACGTTGTACGTTATAATATATTATATATATGATATATACGACGTATTTTTCATGATGACAATTTATATTTCAGATGTACAATCCAAGATATACAATCATACTCTTAGATGTAACTATAAAATTTCGTATTTACAACATCTATTAACTTCAGTATTGTAACAAGTTACAATCTAATCAAACATAATCTTTATTATTTTTTTTTTCAACTTGATTGTAGTAGAAAATTATCAGTGCGTATAAACAGCATTGCCATTATCTAGTGATTACTGTTTTTGTAAGTGTTCGCTTACAAGTTTACATATATTTTGTGCTACGCGCACACTTGGCGCGATTCACAACCGTGTATCTTGATATAGTTTTTCGAGATGTGATTAATAGATTTTTAAAAATTAATTATAAAGTATAGCGAAAGATAGTGTTTTTACAAAGTAAGAAAACGTCTATAGCTTTTGACACATATCACATTTACGAAAAAAAAGGCATTTCTTACACAGACTAATATAAAAAACTGAAGAAATTTAACATCGTTTGATTTTCTATTTTTCTTCTAGTTTGTATAGTTATTATAAATAAGTATTTTCGCGGTACATAAATTATTATAATTATGGAACTTGCACTTGTATTCCCGCGTGTATACATAAATAATTGTATTTGTCAAACTTGCGTTTCAAATTTAAAAAAGAAAAGAAAAAATGATAGCTGCGTAAAAATTTAATGATACATTATTTTCTCTTACTTAATCTTACAACTTGAGAAGAGCAACAAGAGAGTTGTTTATGATGTAAGTCGCGACACTCCCAGGAGTCCAGTGGATTAAACAATTCTAATAACAGTGGTGGCTTCGCTTCGCCGTTTTGGTTCTTGCTTTCGCTCATCTGAGTCTTTTTCTCAAGTTTCTTCGTGATTTCTCTTGACTTATTGTTCTTAGCTAACTTCTGCTGGGAACTTGATGTAAATTTTGGTGTTGAATTTCTGCTGTGCATTTCAAAATTGTTGTTTTGATATTAAAAAGTTTGCATTTATTTTGTACTTATCTTAAGTAATATCTGTTAATCCAGTGGTTCTGAAACCAAACATTAAATTTCGAAGTAAAGTTCTAAAACGTTTGTATGAAATACTTCTTATGTACTTCAAATAATGCGACTGTCCTAATTCAATTTTAATAGTACTTCAAGGTTGAACTACTTAATGGCGAATGTGCCATTAATATTAGATTTCGTAGTTATATATTTTCTTTAAACTATAAATTTATTCAATATTTTATCGTTATATATCGTATGTATATACAAAAATGTATATAAAGTTTTTGTATATAAAAATATTTTTCATGATTCTCTGCATTTTCATTAGCAGGTCAAGAAAAGTGATTAAATTATGTGTTTAACATTAGTAAATTGTACAATATCAGTTTTATATATTTTACAATATCAGTCTTATCATTTTCCAGTTATTCTGGCTGTATGTTAAAATGTTAAGTATAATAAGTAAAATATTAAATCTTTAAAAAATTAAGTAGCTTTATTTCTCAGTTGATTATAGCGCTTCCACCATCACAGCGATACCTTGGCCACCACCAATGCAAGCGGAACCGATACCGAATTTTTTAGCCTTCCGTCTTCTGCAAATGCGGATATAGATATGTTAATAAAAATATAATATTCACAATAATCAGATATATTATAAATGCATTTATAGGATTTTATAAGATACAGTACCTAAATTCATGTACCAAGTGAGCAGTGATCCTACCGGAAGCGGCCAATGGGTGTCCTACAGCAATAGCATCACCGTTTACATTCAGTTTATTTAGATCCAGATTAAGCTCCTTTGCACACGCTAAAGTTTGAGCGCCAAATTCCTCGACGATCTACCGAAAATTATATAATTAATGTATACCAGAAATAAATATAAATTTTAACTAATCTCTTTATTCACTATTACTCATATTAATTATTTTAATCATTTTTGAGGAAGCAAGATTTTTATTGCATAGATAGAGATTTCACCTCGACCAGTTCTATATCATCAAGTGTTTTGCCCGTCATTTTAAGCAAGTTCTTGACTGCTGGCGCAGGACCAATTCCCATAATACTTGGTTCTACGCCGACAACGCTATATCCCACTAAACGTGCTAATGGTTTCAAACCTTCTGCCTTAACAGCTTCTTTACTAGCTAAAATAACAGCACTTGCACCACGTCGCAGATACCCTGAAAAATAAGAATGGAATTGACTTAAGTAATGTAAAGTAAATCTGGAAAGATTGATATAAAAGTTAACATAAAAGTTATATCTATGAAATGAGAGAAAATGCAGTATATACCGATTCAGAACCAGCTGTGATTAATCCATCTTTCTGGAAAACTGGTTTCAATTTACTGAGTGTCTCTAATGTCGATTGTGGACGTGGATGCTCATCTACACTAATAGTTGTATCTTGTTTCTTAATTTTTACTTGCACAGGTGTTATTTCGTCTTTAAAATAACCTGCGTCATTGGTTGTAATATAGTAATCTTTTTAATATATTAATTATCTTAAGCTATTTAAATTCTATAATCTCAATTAATTTAATTTAAAAAATAAGATTAATTTCATAAGCTAGAGTGATACTTTTGTATTTTATTTATTCAATAATTAAGATGTTAATGTAACTATACCAGCTTTCCAACGTTGCTGATTACTCAAAGCAAATTGATCAACTTCTTCTCTCTTTAATTTGTATTGAGCACCGAGTTTTTCCGCAGTTAAACCCATGGATAAATTGCAGTAGGTGTCGAATAATCCAGTCCAGATAAAGTCCTCGAATTCATATTTTTGGCCCAAGACAGTGCCATAACGAATGTTTCTCACTCTAAAAGGAGCTTGACTCATATTTTCCGCACCACCTGTTGAGATAATCTTTGATTCTCCCACTAGAATGTTCTGAAATGAAAAAATATATATTGTTGTGAAATAAACGTTTAACTTTACTGTACTGTTTATTAATATTCACAGCTGCATTTATTTTGTACATTCGTAGAATTATATACTTAAAGTTATATAAATTCATATATATTTGATACATTGGATATACATATTTGATGTATTTAAAGAACTTTGTTCTTTGGAATTTTATTTTTACAAATTACATTTTTTTAAAGAATTATAGAATCCTTAATTAACCTGAGCTCCGCTAACAATTGCTTGGAATCCAGAACCACACAATCTATTAACAGCAAATGCCAACTTTTCTAATGGAATCGCTGATTTCAATAAAATATGTCTTGCCAAGAAACTTCCATCGGGTGACGATCCCTATAAAGCAAATGTTAAAGATATGTTAACTGGTAAGATTTGTACGAACGTTTGTTATTATGAATTGTATATGCAAATACTTACCGGTATGACATGTCCAAATACAACACTATCAATCTTCTCTGGTTTTAGACCCATTGCTTGGATTGCAGCAGTTGACGCAAGGATTCCTAAGTCAGTTGCACTTTTGTTTACAAACATGCCCCCCATTGTGCCAAATCGGGTGCGCTTTGCAGCAACAATAAAAATATCTGTAAAAGAAGATCTCAATGAATTAGACCGTTTATTTTATTTTCTCATCTTCTTTTGTCTACCCTCTATCTTTTTTGGTTTTTGTTTTGATCTAATATTTTATGTAGGTTATTAGGTTAAATCTATCAGATTTTTGGGGGAAATTTGTGTAGAATGTGATATGTATTATATACCTACATAAAATTAAATTATTTAATTAATGTGCATTACAAATGTACTGTGTTAAGTGCATTTGATAATGTTATAGAAGAAAATATTCTACATTTGTTTTCTTTTTTTTTCCAAGGTGTGGCTTATTATAATGACTTTAATCAAACTCTGATTATTTTAGCCGGTGATTAAAAGCCACTTAATGGAATCATTTAAAAAAAATTTCCGACTATATAATTCATTCCTGATTCAATCTTGTTTTCAGTTTCGACTAAAGATGGACAGAAAACATCGATTATTTAATAATCGATGCTTTTTTTGTCAAGAAGTCGATTAATCACTCGATGTTTTTTAATTCGATTAATTGTCAAATCGAAAACGGAACCGAAATGAAATTAGAAAGATGAAATGGTGGGGACAGCCAATCAGTATCGTTCCGAAAATTTCAAATAACTCTTCATTGCGATTTTAAGCATTCTAGTTCCCCATGGAACATATTTTTTAGAAAATGGAATCCGTTCTAATCTTATTTTTTTTTTAGTTTGATAATTTTTCATAATATTTTCGTATCATCAAATATGAAAAATCGATACTTTTTAAAATCGATTATCAGAAAGTCGATTTATTTTTTCAACATCGCCCATCCCTAATTTCGGCTATATTAACAAAATAATACAGATATTATTGTTGAATGATACATAAACTTGTCAAAGTAAGGTAATAATCAGAACCTGATCAAAATCTCTCTTTTATAACTTAGAATATTAATGAAAATTAAACTTATTAGAAAGATTAGATTTATCTTTATTGAGATTTCATAAATCTTGATCACTAAATTGTGGAAATACCTTTCGTTACAACTGACATTGTGGCGAGTCACTTCACTTTGTAAGATTTTTGTTAAGTAGAATAAATTGTCTGGATGGACGAAACATGAGAAGTTTAACTATAATACGATAATAATTAACGGAGTCAAATCACACTGACTGAACTACACTAATTTTAACTGAATTTGATTAATGTAACGTTTAAATTGAACTATTTTGAAGTGACTCCTGGCACTTTTACAAAGGAGAGTGTCACGTTGCTCCAAAATGTTGCGTTCGGGGAGCGCGCTATTAGCACTATCATATAATTTTATTTTTATTGCTCATTATATGTAAATTAAGGATAGAATTATAATTCGGACCAAGACCCTCCTCTCGTATCTTTTACTCTTGGAATATTAGAAATTTTATTAAAAATCATACTATTTATCAGAATATATATTTTATTTCTTTTACACATAATTTTTGTTACAACTTTAATTTCCAATTTATTTACAAGTACAGTGATTTGATTCTGTTCAATTAGTCTTACAATAAATAAATTTCTCTAATAATGTATGTACTCAATCTTAATTGCGATATTATTGTGTGGGAGAAATATCACTTACCTGAGAAGAGTATCTAAGATAAATATCCAGAAAAAAAGATATACATATATGTCTAGAAGAAATATTTCGATCAAATGTTTAATATATTTATGTTGTACGTTACAATATGTTATACATATGATCTATACACGATGTATTTTTCATGTGGCAATTTCTATTTTAGTCCAAGATATACAATCATGCTCTAGGTGTAAACTGTAAAATCTTGTGGTATTTACAACAGCTGTTAACTGCAGTGTTGCAACAAGTCTTTACAATCTAATCAAACATAATCTTAATTATTTTTTTTCAACTTAATTGTAGTAGAAAATTACCAGCTTGTGTAAACAGCGTTACCATCTGGTTGATTACTGTTTTTGTAAGTGTCCGCTTACAAGTTTATATATGTATAGTTTTTCGAGATGTGATTAATAGATTTTTAAAAATTAATTATAAAGTATAGCGAAAGACAGTGCTTTCATGCAAAGTAAGAAAGCGTTCATAACTTTTGGCACGTATCACATTTATAAAAAAAAAGGCATTTCTTATACAGACTAGTACAAAAAACTGAAGAAATTTAACATCGTGATATTTGATTCTATTTTTCTTCTAGTTTATGTAGTTATTATAAAGTATTTCCGCAGCACATAAATTATTATTATTATGGAACTTGCACTTGTGTTCCTGTGCATACATAGATAACTGTACTTGTCAAACTCGTGTTTCGAATCTAAAAAAGAAAGGAAAAAAAGACAGCTGCACATAAAAATCTAACGATACATTTTCTCTTACTTAATCTTACAACTTGAGAAGAGCGACAAGAAACAACCCGTTTAACATTTATGCTAACATAGGAAGGTAATGAATTATGTAACAACAGCCAATAATTAGCTATTTATTAGTTAAAAGTCTTCATTCATCTTGATATTCGAGGACACCAGATTGCCTCGCACTATCCACTCCCTACAAAAAGACATTTTATCTAACATTTTTTACATGTTTATTCAAGAGTAAAGAAGGATATTATATACATGTATATAACATAATATTCAATGTAATAATATTCAATCTTCTAATCAAGTTTTATACTTACATCCTCGAAAAACGTATGCATCTCTTGTGCTGCTTCCGCCGACGAGAAAACTGCTCTCAAAACTCTTCTCATTGGGGGATCCAAAGCATAATCAATTCCGCTCCAAATACATTCTTTGTCTTCCACCTTTGTTACAATAAAAAAATAATGAGAAAAAGATATAACATGATACAATAACGAAAGTACATGTAGTTCCTCATCATATCGTTAATTTCAAAGCATTGTATTTAACTCCAGAAAAGTATATAAAGAAGATATAAATATTCAAGTATATCACATGAAACAATAGCTTAAAAACTATTGTTAAGAAAAATCGATTCACAATATATAAATAGTTCTTACCCGCATCACTGTATTCTCGCTGATGATAGTGTTGCTCGCGCATTCCTCCGAGTTGTCGACTTTTAAGACGATTCTTTCCGCGTAAATCTCGGAATCATATTGGATTGAAAGATCTCCCATACCCACTTTTTCCCATTTGGTTTCTTGATTGGGCCATCTCGCATACACAGTGGCACGTTTTGTAGTTATAACAGACATCTCTTGATCGTTCTCATCGTCCTCTTCCTCGTCTTCTTCATCCTCTTCTTCGTCCTCTTCTTCCTCTTCCTCCTCATCCATGAAGACAGCAACAGGATAGCGAGGAACACGATCGTGTTCTTCGCTCTCTTCCGCTTCGCCAGCGTTTTTCTCACCTACAATGTAAATCGATGTAAGATCATGTACTTAAGTGCATCGATGTCTCTTTTAAAAGCAACTGTGTTAATGAGAACACAAGCTTTATGAACGTAAAGTGAGATCGAGAGACACTGATAGTGTTTCATGCCAAGTATCTTGTGATATATGAATGACAACTACGTTTGTAATCTAGTTTTTCTCAAGTATAATATGAAAGATTAGACATAAGTCTAAGATGTATAATATACTTTATTCTAATTATGTAATATACAGTGCAGCATTTCAAACGTACAAAATGATTGTGATCATTTGATAGGATGAATGACTCTAACATAAAATCGATCAGTATTACATAATCCGTAAATTAATTACTTCGTTTAATTTAGAAACGTATAAAACCCTATAGTTATATTCGCGTGTAACAAGTGTCTCTTAAGCGTTTTTATCTTAAACTTAAATACAAATAATTATTAATTAATCGCTCTTCACATTATAAAAAGAAAGCATTTTATAACATTGTATGTGTAAATAAAATAAGAACGAATATTAAAATAATAACAATAAATCATAATATTTAAAACCTAATCTCCTGGGTACTTAATTAGTTTTTCTAACTACCTTTAGTAGTTTTCTTTTCGCGCAGTTCTTGTTGAATGTTATCGATGTGCGCTTTGAATTCTTGGGCTATTTCGGTTGACTTAAATTTAACTGCTAATTGTTCGACGCATGGTTCCTCCTCAGCATAATTTAGACCCGCCCACATCCAGGCTTGATTTGATGTTGAAAGTGGACGGAACTCCACATCAGGAATGATCAGAAAGTTGCAGACGACTTTATGCACTTGCTCTCGGCGTAGTAGCAATCGATAGGTGCCGTGACCGGCATGATGCAGAATTTTCATTTCACCGACGCCACGTTCCTTCCACTCGCCGCGTTGTTTCTCGTCACTGTGAAACCTGTATAGCTTGGCTCTGTGGCAAAACACTGAAATAAAAAATAAAAATATAAAAAAATTAAAAAGCATAATTTTCCCCATATATAAAAATGAAAGATTTCAATTCAAAATAATCAATAAAGGCTACCTTTCTCTTCATCTTCTTCACCGGTTCGGACTTCAATAGCATCTGGTAATGGTATAATAGGTTCAAAATGAGGATCATGCTCCTGCTCATTATCTACTTCACCATCGTCTTCTTCATTGTCCTCCTTTTGCGTGGAATCATTGCGGGATTTATTTTGATTCGAAGACACGGCAGATTTTGAACCAAATACCGAAGATCCCGCACCAGCGAATGAAAAGTTGGGATCTGAAAGCATCAATTCGATATTAGATGTATCGGAAAAATTTTATGCGATTCGACAGAAGAATTTTGTTGAAAATCTATGTTTTTGATAAAGTAGAGAGCAATTATCGCTAAGAATTTTGGTCGTTTCATCAATTCTGACGAATAGCTTCATGACATACCGACTTTGAAAGCTTCGGGTTGCGCTGCCGTCGCAGCGAGCATTGAGAACGACATGTTATTTGTTGTGAAGAAATTGGGAACATCTTCGTTTTTCTGACCATTATCTGCCGATTTTGTACCAAAAACATTTGGTGTCGTCGCAGAGCCGAAGACGTTTGTCGTAGTTGTTGCCGTTGTTCCGCCAAAGATATTCGTCGTTGTCGGTGCCACGGACTCGAAAATGTTCGTCGTCGTCGGCGCCGTTGTTTTCCCAAAGAATTGTGTCGTTGTCGCTGCGGTTGTTCCGCCGAAGAAGTTCGTCGTCGTCGTCGATGCTGTGGTCCCACCGAAAATGTTCGTTATCGGTATCGTGGGATTGAAGACGCTCATAGTTGTCGTCGTTGCGGTCGTTCCGCCGAAAATGTTTGTTGTCATAGAACTACCGAACTGCGAAGGACTGCCAAACTTCATCTTAGAAAAGAATGTAGAGTTGGTGCCGAAGACTGAGTTTGAGGACGTGACTGCCGATGTGGTGTTTACAGTCGAAGTCTTCGGGACAGAATTCACTGTAGTAGTAGCAGTAGAGATCGTAGGCACGGTGGAAGAAGAAATAGGGATGTCAGCGCTGCTTCCATCGGAGCCAGACGTTTTCGATGAGGCTTTCGCAGCGTCGCCGAAGATGGTCTTTTCGGAATCAAAAGTAAAGGTAGGCGTTTTGAATATGGATGTCTTCGATGCTGCTTGGCCGAATATCAACTGTCCAGCTGTATCAGTTAAGCTGGTGGAAACAGTTGTCTGCGTGATTTGAGTACTGGAAGGACTGCAGATCTTGAAATCATCAAGTGAGATATTCGTCGTCGTTGGCGCTGTTGTCTTCTCTGTCATTTCATTGGTACCGAACTGTGGATTCATACCAAATGAAAAAGTCGTGGTCTTCTTATCATTGAATAATTTTAGATCACCGGTACCGAAGCTCATTGCAGAGCTGTCGAAGTTGGTGGAAGTAGTCGATGGCAGCTTAAATGTCAAGGCAGATGCGAAAGAAAATCCATTTTTCACAGACGTGGATTGTGTCACGTCTCTCTCACTAGAGACGCTCGACGACGATGAAGTCGTATTCACTTTTGATTGTGTCATCACCTTCTTTTCTTCCGGCACGGGTTTCCATTTCGAGTCTTGTGCGGCGATGTCCGGATATAACACAATACTCGGTTTTCTACAGCCTCTGCAGCCGGGACAGTCTTCTTTTTGCTTATAAGCGTAGAAATTCTCCGGTAGTTGCAGCTTTAAAGCGGCTGCTTTTTCTTCCGAAGTGACCTTTGTCTCGTAGACGATCTCGATTTCCTTGACTGGCGAATTCAACGCCTTTGTCGGCGTTTTCGTTGTCGCAGATTTACCTATTTTTTCGCCACTACCACTCACAGAGATGGGCGATGACTTGAGATTTTTTCTGGCATCATCAATCGCTCTCTTAAAGTCCGCTGCAATCTCGGACGTCTTAAAACGGCAGGCGAACTGCATGTACTCAATCTCGCCCTCACTGTAATCGGCAGTAGTCCACAGCCATGTTTTCTCATCCTTCGGTGTGAACTCTAATTCGACAGATAGCATATGATTTAGGCATAGTTTTAACACGTGATCCCGACGCATGATCAACCGCAGCTTGCCGGTCTCTTTGTGGCACAATAATTTAATGTCACCCAATCCACGCTCTTTCCATTGCTTTTCTACAGTATCAAACCTGAAAAGCTTCGCTCGATGACTGTAGAGCACTTCTTCGTCCTCCTCGCCAGTCTTCACTTCGATCTTATCTGGCAACGGCACGATCGGCGAGAAGTGAATGTCTTCGCTTTCCACCACTTCATCCTCGCTGGTCTCGCCGCCACCGCCGGGCGACTTCGCTGGTGATTTAGCCATGAAATTAAACCAAACGATTTGGTGGGCGATCCAAAAGTAAATGGCGAGTCGCCTATCTTTGCTGGTGTGCTGCTTTTCACCGGCATACCAAATACGAAGTTGGTGCTTGTGGTCTCCTCAGATTTAGATGAAGTTGTTTTCCCGCTCTCACTTGCGCTCTTGTCCTCTACTTTCGGCATCCGAAAGCTAAAACCTGTGGCGGTCGTCTCTTTCGCGGTGTCCTTGGGAATGCCGAAGGAAAATGTAGTCGTGGGCGCTGTTCCGGAAGAGGACGCGTTCAGCTGGAAGACGTTGATCTGTTGCGGTTTGGGTGGTTGCGACGGATCCTTGGGATTATCGCAAGCAACGCAGTAGGTATTCACGCCAGAATTGACGATATAGCATCCCGTGCAGGTCCAGGAGCCGGCAGGTGATTTAAACAATTCTGATAATGGCGGTTTGCTGGAATCGACCGGTTTACTAGACGGGTCTACGATTGCAGAGCCATTCTTGCTTGTCGCTGAAGGTGATGGAGCATTGCAAGCTATGCACTTCGTATCCGTGGCGTTGTTTCTGGTGTAACAGTCGCTGCACTCCCAGGAGCCAGTCGGTGGTTTAAACAATTCCGATAACGGTGGTGGCTTCGCTTCGGCGTTTTGGCCCTTGTTTTCACTCATCTGAGTTTTCTTCTCAAGTTCCTTTGCAATTTCGCTTGGTTTATTGCCCTTAGCTAATTTCTGCTGAGAACTTGACACGATGATGTAGAACTGCGACGCCAATTCCGGCGTGCTGAAGGTCGCGGCATGTAATGACCAGGTCTTACCGGGTTCTTTAGCATCCGCTGGAACAGTCCAGTTGACAACTGTAGTGCCACTCTTGTATGTAAATGCCATATCCAGAGGAACCTCGTGACTATAGACTTTGGAACTTTCGTCATCCGTCAGTAACAAGCGAAGCTTGCCAGATTTTATGTTTAATAACAACATCATCGATCCTGTACCCTTACTCTTCCACTGCATGGCATTGGCGCCATTAACATTTTGACACTGAAGACTTGCTGTTCCAATGAATAATCTTTGCTCGTTTTCAGTCGGTAATCGCGTGTCATCGTTGAGTAATCCTTGCTTCATTGCGTTTGGTGGTGGTAAACGAGGTCTTCTCAATGATGTAGAATTCTGACTGTAACTGGTCGTAACAGGCGAAGTCAGAATAGATGAAGTTGTTGGAGTTGCGGTGAATACGAAACTTGTCGATGGCGCCGAGCCGGCACTTGTACAGGTAGTGGTTTTCGTCTCGGATTTGCTAGTTGACTTGGTAAATGAGAATCCGCTAAATGGACTGACTTTCGGCGGTTCTTCGACCTTTTTAAAATCATCCACATCTGTGTCACTAACTTCCTGAATAATAGGTTTAGAACTGAAAGAGAATCCTCCTAATGTTGTCGTGCCGGATTTCGACTTGCCCGAGGAAGCTGCTTCTGTTGATGAACTTATCTTGGCTTGCTGCGTCGGTTGTGATTTCTGAGTTTTGGATGCGTCTTTGTCGCTAGACGAAGCAGCTGAAATTTTTTCGCTAACTTTGGATGCCTTTCCTGGCGATGGTGCGGGTAGATTACGTCTGGCGTGGTCAAAGGCTTCCTTGAACGCTGCAGCTTCCTCCTCGGTTTTAAATCTGATGCAGAGTTTCTCTAGTTTCACCTCTTCATCGGCAAAGTCATTGGCGACCCAGCACCAAGCCTTGTTATTGTTTGTCATAGGAGTCAATTCCATATCAGGCCTTAGCATGTGATTCGCACAGATCTTCAGAACTTGATCACGACGCATGAGCAGGCGTACCTTACCCTCTGCGTTACGCAGCAGTTTCACATCACCAACGCCGCGCTCTTTCCACTGTTTGTCAACAAAACGGAACAATTTCGCTCGCCCACAATACAAAGTGTCCTCGTCCTCTTCACCAGTAGTAACTTTTACCTTCGCGGGCAATGGTATGACGGGCACAAAGTTCGGTATCGGATCATGCTCCTGTTCACATACCTCCGTGGATGTATTCGGTGATTCAATTGCCTCATAAATAGACTTGATGGTATTATCAGTCTTGTCATGTATATTACTACTATTATTCTGAGTGCTTAACAAAGCACCACTGCTAGTCGTGTGAGTCATTGTGAGAATAGACGGTGATGTTGTTAGATTGGCATAAATTGGCGGTATACTAAGGTTGGCTGGAGCTACATAGGTAGAGGTCGGTGGCAAATTTACAGTGGTTGGTATGGTGGCCTGCAAGGGCATTGGTATCTGATAACAATGCGGCGCATTGGATGAAGATGACGATTTCGTCGCCATTGTCATTGTAGTAGTCGTTATAGGTGTAGTGGAAAAGGTCACAGTTGCTCCACTTCCTAATCGATACTGCGGTGGTATGGTGACGCTCAAAGTCGGCTGGGTGGACGGCACCGTGGTCGGGAGCGTGTCGGATGTTGTGATGACCACATTTACAGGAGGTGCTTTGTTTACTGGTGCATCCTTGATGACTGTTGGCGTCGTTGTCATCGTAGTTGTTGTCTCAGGTCTAGTTCGTGGTGGCGTTTCGATCTTCTGCTTCAGAGATATTTGCAACGACGGATTTGCCGTCGCCGCTGCTGGCATCAGATCAGGCAGTTGCGAGGAAAGTGTCGATGCAAAGAGTCCTTGTTGAAGCGGATTTTCCGGTACTTTTGTCTGATTAGGGTACAATATCGGCATCGGATAGACGGTATGATAGAGGGACGAGATCGTCGCCTGATCAAATGGTGGTAATTGAGGTCCCTGAGGAGGATAATACGGGAATGTCGCCGTGGTGGGATACACCAGCGGCGCGTAAGGCCGACTGTGTTGCGGTGTAAATATGTTACCAGAAATTGTAGACGCTTGTCCAGGTTGGTTTGGTTGATTCGAATAGTTTAAATCAATGTACTCGTCGTTCTCATAGTAATCTTCGGGATCGGCGAGATTCATATTCTGTTGCTGTTGTGTACGCTGTTGTTGCTGCTGTTTTTGATTTTCTTTACGTAATTCTACTACTTCTTTCGTCAGATTATCCACTTTCTCATTCATTGTCTTCACTTGTATCGTTATGTTTTTCATTTGCTCCATTATTTCTTGTATTTCATTGTCCCGAGATTGCATAATCTGACGTATCTGAGCATCAAGACGTTCCGGACTCGGACGTGCTTCCGTGCGGTTTTTTGACAGATTTAGATAATCGTGATATTGCAATTTGCATGGTGTACTAGCATGCTTTGGTGTACGATGAGCATTTCTCTGTGGTGTGCTGAGCATATTTGAACCACCAATAAGCGTTGTCAGCATTGGCAATGGCGGATTTGTGACTGCCTGATCCACGGCACTATGTGTAGGAGAGTAACTCTCATCGGATATACCATCGATATCATTCCTACTCAAGTCGCCTCTGCCTAGATCCGGATCAATTCTCTTCATCTCGTTCTCGATGTCGGTGATGTAAGTGCCAAGCTCCGAGTTTAGTGGGTGTTTCGGATTCGTACCCGGGCTGCGAAGTCGATCGAGCGTGAGATAGAAAGAGTTCCTTGCTTTCGACAGCATTATAATGTGCTGCGATCGCATCTCGGACGTTAGACTTTCACGAGGCGTGGAGTTTACTATCTCATCTGCGAATATCTTGTAAATCTGTGCGAGATGGAACGATGCTTCCGGACACTTCAGCGCTTGCAGCGCGTCAATCGCCTGCTCGTATTGCTTATCGCGTATGAGTCGTTGGGCTAACAGCAACTTGCCTTCTTCGAGGGCGTTTGTCAACTCGAAATTATTCATGTCTTTGCCTTGATAATTAAACAATTTTGTCGGAGACATACGTAATGTTTGATTGTTTTGCAGTCTCTCCAACAATGGTAGAGCAGCGGTCCAATACAACTCAGAACGCGCCTCCCATCTAGAAATGTAGCCATTCGATTCATCTTTCTCCTTCATCGTCTTCGCACGATGATGGAACATGCGAGCCAGATGCACTAATAATACTGGATGCATGCCATGATTACCGATGCAACGAATGACTTCCAAACCTTGCTGCAATTCTTGTCGCAGCTCGCCAATATCACCGTCTACATCCTCTCGCTTGGAGTACATCTTGTATGCTGCGGACCACCACTTCTCCTGATTGGTAGTAGACAGTGTCGCGGTAAGATCGATAGGCAATGTCGGCAATTTATCTGGATTCATAAAGCTACCAAGTTGCTGCTCTTCCAGAACTGCACACGAGCAGAGTATTGCCGCATTAAGAAATGCATCAATATCGATGAGGCATAAACTATCAGGCGCCGCTTGATTTGTATTGAATACTGAAAATTGCAATGCTGGGAACACGCGTGAAGTCTGATCTGGATATGGAGCATCTTTATGTTGAGGCCGATTCTCCATTCCAAGCCAAATTTGATGATGCAGTGAAGCCGGCCAAACTTCTTGTGCAACTGCAAATAAAAAAATTAAATCTGTATCTGTTTTTTACAATTTATTTTTTTCCGTTAATATTAATTCTAATTGATATATAAAATTTAAAATTCGTTTTGAGTGTAACTCATCACATTAATAACAGGCTAAAAATAAAAATAATATTTGTTAAATACGCGTTATGTAACTAATAGCTTGCAAAATAAAAATAAAATGCGTAATAATCCTTGCATATTCAAGGTAAAAGGATTAATAAACTTACTTTGATTGTAAGTTCTTAATTGATTCGCGGTGCACATACGTAAGGGAGGATCAGGAGCTGAATGATTGCAAAAGAATGAATCTCGCATGTTATCAAGATGTATCCTGTTTACAAAAATTCGCTAAAAAAGAAAATACATATTAAATATAGAGTATTTTTGGGTATTCAAATATGAAGATTTATATAAAACTGAATTTACATGATAAATACGCTCTCTCCAGGATCCTGTGCAAAACTTATCAATTCTATCCATCAATTTTTTTGTATCATCCTTAGCATAATTTTGAAGAATGTAACCTAATAAAATAAAAAATAAAATAGCATTAGCAAGGATATTTATATTTAATAGTAATTTAATTTTTAATAATCAGAATAATCAATCTTGCATACCAGCTTGGCAACATCGATATGCTGCTTCCATGACCCATACGTTGAATAAATTTCTAAGTCCGTCGTCTTCTAATTGTATACGCAAACGATTTTCTAATGGAGCTACATGTAATGCGGTCAACAATAGTGGCGAACACAGTCTTCCTACTTCGCTCCAACTGCCCTGCTCGCGTTTTGTTTTGCGTAATAGCAAGCATGCCAAATGAAAGTGCAATTGACCCCACATATGCATAAACAAATGTTCCATAAAAGAGTGGTGCTTAAGAAACTTTTTTATTTTTAATTCGTTCAAATTTTGGTCCAAACTGAAACATAATTTTTGTTTTGTAAATGAATCATAAAAATAATTGTTATTCAAAACAAACAAATGCAATTATCTCATATTTAAGATATAAGATATATATAAATACATATATAAATACTATATAAATACTACGTATATATAAATACTACAATTTCAGTTTTATTATTGTTTCATTGAGTGTCAAGTTGAGATATACAATTGATATTATAAATATCATATCATGATATACTTACTTAAATATTGCCTGTGTCACTTCTGAAATGCTTTTTTTCATTTCGCTGCCTTGTTCTTTGAGACACAGTCCTGCATACTTATCCGATACAGATATATAGAAAAACCAAAAAGACCAGTTGAAGGATTTAGTCTCTTTACACTTTGTTAATAAATCATACAGCAACTGATACCATGCAATGCTGTCCTTATGAGGAACAGTTGCTTCTACACTAATAGCATGGTCATAAGCTTCATCCAATTTATGCTCCGATATATAATAATTTAATAATTTGATGCGAAGTTGCACATCAGTCGGTCTTGCAGCCAATTCAGCTAGAAAATTTTAGACATTAATTATTAACCTCTAATCACTCACAAAATAAATAATAATTACTTACATGCAATAAGTGCCTCAAGATCTTCACTACTGTTGTTTGGTTTCTCTATAGTCAACAATTTTTCTTTCAATTGAAAAACTACTGGATGATGTGGAAATAGCCTGTCAGCTCTCTCTACCCAATACTTTAATTTATTAACATCCATTCCCATATCCATGTCAATCAGTAATTCACATACTAAAAGAAAACAGAAAATGAAAGTGTTATAAATTTATAAATGTTATATTTTACAAATATATATTTTCAAAGCATAATAAGTAAATATAGATTGACTCCTTACCTTTCAAGACTAAATCATCTTGTCTCCCTTCAAGTTCAAGTGAAATTTTGTATTCATTAAAAGCTGCTTCTTTTTGACCAAGAGCTTCATATGCCTGACCCAATAACTTATGTGCACTGGCAGAATTATCTCGGATCTCTAAGTAATTACATACATATCTTTTTGTGGACTCATAATCGCCTACTTGATAATACAGTTTGGCAACATTATAACAACGAAGATTTTTCTGTAAAAGAATAATCAAACATCAAAGAGTTTCATCTAGATCTCCAATTATAAGAATAGATTTTAGACAAAAACATATATATCTTATTTAATTATAAATTATAAGTTCATCAGTATATCTATATTAAAAATTCAATCATATATTGTATTATCAAAATTATTTATATTGATTATTAAGGCTAAACAATTACAATAATTTAAATAAAATATTTTAATTAAAAAAAAAAAATATATATATATATATGCAATATACATGTATTTTTTTCTCCAACACACCAAGGACAATTGTGCTTAAGATTTTTTGAATTGATTTCTTATTCGAATTATAAAGAAAAATTTTTAAAAATCTCGAAATATTTTTATTAAGAATATAATAAATAAATTCATCTTGTTTAAAATTCCTTATATATATATATATATCATATGTATCATATATATATATATCATATGTATCATATATATATATATATATATATATCCAAAATGCTATGCGAAAACAAGTTCTTGTTTGATAAAACGTTAGAGAAACGTGGACAATGATTTTGGTCCGCTAAATCACACAAAAGATCCTATATAAAGAATCTGAATTCAAAATGCAGACCGGCAAAACAGATCGACACGAGGCCGGTTTCCCGCGAAAATTCGCCATCATCGACACGTCATGTTCGCTTGACGTAAAAACCTGAGAATTGTAAGAACTGTTTTCGACAATCAACGCATAATGATCGCATTGCAAATGTATGGCATATCGATCATACTGCATTAGATTTTTGTAAATCACAATGGTTTACAATGGTTGCTGTGCATTGACTTGTAACTATGATTTGGGTCTACAATTCATTGGAAACAATTACGACTTCGTATTTCAGACCGTATAATTCAAGGTCTTCGGTTTTAGCTCTCCGAGTACAATTGTTGCTCATAGAATTGATCATCAATCCCATTCGGGATCAGTAACATCGCGGTTGCAAGTAAAAACGGGGCGGGAAGAGTCGTTCGGCCGTTACCCGCAAACATCAGAGGGAGAGAGAGAGAGAGAGAGAGAAAGAGTGAGAAAGAGAGATAGTGTTCTCGTGCAGAAAAGTAACCTCACCTCGTTCTCGTTCCGCAGCTTGCAGAAGACATTCTGCACGTGTCGGTCGACGTCCTTCTTCGAGCGAAACATGATGTCGGCTGGACAGGATCGACCAACCGAACTTCACTTTCGTTCCACTGCTTGATCGGCACTAATTTTCCCGTTTCGTTCGTTAATCGCGACTCATCACGCGAATCCACTCGTAACGCACGTATCTCTTTCAAACGACACCGTCGAATCCAACGCTGCCAATGCTGGCGATCATTAACGTAACCTTTCCCTAAGCGAGATAAGAGGTACCAACCTCTGGTTAGTAAGTCCATAAATCTGCGTCATTTAAGAATTGGATTAAAATCCAATTTATGTCCATTTCTATCATTAAAGATTAAAATTAATTTACAGATTAATTACAAGATTAATTACAGAATATATACAATACAGATTAATTACAGAATAATTTACAATTACAGAATATAAATACGATATAAATTAATTATAGAATAATTTACAATAATTGACAGAAATAATCAAAATACCTTAATCAAATCATTAATTTTTTCATTAATTCCTTAAGTATTAGTATTAAGTATTCAACAAAATTAATTAATTCTTTAAAAAAAGATACTTTATAAAGCTAATATTTTATTATCCACAATTCGCAATTGCTTTGATGAATTAATTAGAATAATTAATATTAAATTATTTTGAAATACAATAAAATGTTTGACTACGTTAATTAATTAAAAATAAAGAATTTTTGAGGATCTCAAGATTTGACTATTTTATCAACCAATCAATACGTTTAAAACCATTTACAAATACATTAAAAAAAATTTGTAATAAATGAAATGTTGGTCTAGTAATAAATTATTATATATTAATTTATATATATAATAATTTATAATAATTTATCAGATCGCATAGTTATGAACTATTGGCTGTGTTTAGTAGAAAAAAGAATTTTGCAACTGTTACAAGATTTTTTTAATTAATTGATTCTTGTCCTTAATTTGCCACTGAATCTAAATGTCTAAACCAATCATAGTGAAGAATCTCACACAATTGCAAAGCTGCTTTTTCTGCTGAATGCAACCAATGAGAGAAATCGCATCGTGTGATTGGTATTTTCTTTGCGTGGTGGGAACAACTCTTGCGAGTTATGTATGATGTGGCTGCAGCGTCTTATTTGTTATGATATATCGTAGTTTTGCTGTGGCCTGCATTGGCTCAGGAGAAGCCCAGGCCGATGTAAGGGGTAATAATATACGTCGTGGTTTGTCAAATTCGTAATCATCGTGATTAGAATATCTCGTACGAAGACGAAAATGATTCGTCATTCTCTCTCTTTGCCTTCGCCAAATAGGCAAGCATTTTAGTACCATTACACTAAAGAAGAGAAAAAAGAAGAAAATTATTTTCTGTTGTAATATTTGCATTTTGAATTCCACTTAATACTGTCAGGGATCGATCGTACAATGGTAGAAGAAGTTGTTCAACCAGCTAGCAGCAGACCGAAAGTAAGAATGTGAATTGAAATTTTAACGTTAACGTTATTTTAATTTTAATGTTAACTTTTATTTATTTATTTATTTTTACTTTAATTGTCACTATGTATTTCAGAGCAAGACAGCTCGACCACGTCCAGTATATTTGTGGAATGTTTTGGATGTTCAGAAATGGCTGAGACGCCACTGCAGTGATTATTATCAATTGTACTATGAAAACTTTTTACATGTAAGTATCTCTATTCTGTTACATTCGCTTTATATGAGTTGCCTTATATGAGTTCAATTTCTTATCCTGTTTCTTACAACTGCAAAGAATTGCATATTGATTCCAAGGAACACTGTTAATTTTTTTTATGTTGATAAAATTTTTTATTGTAAGAGATGTATTCAATATGAATTTTTTTGTGCCTTTCAAGCACGATATTACAGGAAGGGCATTGTTAAGGATAAATGAAGATAGTTTAAGACGGATTGGCATCGATAATGAACAGCACAGATTGGAAATATGGAGAGAAATTTTGAAATTGCACCTGAAAACATTCATGCTAGAGATGAAGGATATTGAACGACGTAATAATATGAAATTGATCTGAAGCATATAAAATATATACATCATTCAGTTATATTATCCTAATATAATTGTTGCTTATATTACATGTTTGTAATATATAATATATATCTACTTGTAATATATAATTTAAGATATATTTAAGCAGACATTATTTATTTAAAAAAGTATTTAATATTTAACATATATAACGTGTGTTATTTTAATATTTGATTATTTGTACAACATTTATGTTATATCTTACGACAATGAAATAGATTGAACTTGATATTGTTTTTATTTCGCAATATAACGCAATTTGTTTTATGAACAGATGCCGAGAGAAACAAGTACAAAAATAGTCTATTTCAATAAGAGTAGATATTTAAATATTTGTTATGAAAAACTTGAGATATATACTTGTGTAAAAAATTTATAAATATTAATATTTAAAAATATATATAATAAAATATATCTATAGTTACTTATTTATCATTTATAAAATAAATATAGATTAAAGGTGCTTACAAATTTAAAAAGCGAACTTATACTCAAGAAACTATAAAATTAGTAAATATTTTCTATTGATTTAAATAATATAAATTAATATAAATAATATAAAATTAAAGAAAACTAAAGACTCGGCCGTTCATGTATAACAGTTTTTAAAATGGAATAATGCAGGCAGTTGATTCACTTGCTTGGTTCCTTGGTCATATCAGACTAGCGGTTGCGCGGTTACGATTGCCGATTGACGATTTTATTTCAGCCAATCACAATGTAGCAGATCCTGGTCAATGTGATTGGTAATAATAGAATCGTTAACCAGCAACCACAGCCGAACAACCATTAGTCTGATATGGCCTTTAGTAAGTTTTTAGAATCTAGAATTTCAATCTAGATCAATCTAGAGTAACAAGTCGAAATGCATTTTCACTTAACGTTCATTTTTTATTATCAAAATATGTTACACAATAAAAGATTACAGAAATAAAAGAAAATAATCAAAATTGTACAATTACTTCATGTGATCAAAATCGAAATCGAAATTGCTTAATCGAGAGGAACATGAACGAACCGGAAGTATAAAAAACGAAATGTGCGCCGACAGGCAGATTGTACTACTACACTGCATCATGGCGTCGTAAAGTGCTTCCGGTTGAAGCCTCTTCTGTATAATTCTCGATACAAAATGGTAATACGGCTTGTTTATTGCACAAAATTCGCAGAAATTTTCATATCGTGCGTTCGCATTCGCCTGATCCCCTCGTTATCGGTGGTGTTGTGAGCGCGGCGCGTTTTGCGGATATAAATCTCATGATGGATTGATTACTTTTCGTCAAAACTGCGCTTCCCCTCCGAGATGACCATGTGGCTGCCGCATTATTCGATCATTGCGGGGATATAATCAGTGCAAAATTTTAACCTTAATTTTAAATATGAATTGCCGAGGCACGTTCATTCGCGATTCATCATTAGCTCGAGGGAATGAAAATTCACAAATTGTAATCCTAACCTAATGTCACATGATGCATCACGTGTGATTCCTTTCGATGTCAGAGTTGGGATATAATGCGTTACTTTCAGTACCCGCTATCAATTTTGACATACAACTGATTTTATTTTTATTTGCCAGACTTGCAAACGCAGAAACGGTGGACGTGCCAAGCATGGCCGTGGCCATGTAAACCCAGTGCGCTGCACCAACTGTGCTCGTTGCGTTCCCAAGGACAAGGCCATCAAGAAGTTTGTCATTCGCAATATTGTCGAGGCCGCTGCCGTCAGGGACATTACGGAGGCCAGCTTCTATCAATCGTATCAGTTGCCGAAATTGTATGCTAAACTTCATTATTGTGTTTCCTGTGCTATTCACTCCAAAGTGGTACGGAATAGGTCCAAGGCAGATCGTCGTATAAGAACGCCTCCTGTCCGCAACTTCCCAAGGGTAATTGCAATTATAAACAAAATTAAACAATGTTTTCTCGAAAATATGTATTAAAAATTTTATCAATATTGATTTAAAAAATAGTTTTATATGAGATTTAAATAATTTTAATATCTGATAGCAAAAATGAAGCCTATTGAATTTATATATGTGTGTGCGTGTATAGAATTATAATTTTTTTTCTTTTGATATCAAAACACTATTGGTCTATGGATATTTAAGCTTTAATATTATTAATTAAATATATAGAGCAACATTTGATATAATTTTTACTAAACTTATATCTTGGATTATTTTGCTGATTTATGTAGATGAATTAGTTTTATGAAATATATAATGTTGTGTATATGTACATGTATGACTTTTTGTTTTTAGGATCTGCGCCAGGGTCAACAGAACAGGAAATAATTTTATAATGTAAAGTTAATTTCAATATAAATAAAAATTTGTAAAATTAATATTAAAGACATTTCATTTCACATTACTTTATATTAAGTACGGGTTGTGCAATGTTATTCCTTCTATTATCCCAAGGGAAAGATACATAAAATACAATATTTCATTATAAATTAATGTGAATTTGAAGTTCATTATTGCATAAAAAAAAGTATGGAAATATATTAGAGTGGACATACTTTAGATATGGATTTATTATACACGATCATACATATATCAGGTAAATGAGGTAATATCCTCATTCTTAAAGCGAATCTATTTAAATCTGAATTTTGCCAATGTATTACATTTCATAAAAATACTTGCCATTTAATCAACTTGTCAAAACCAAATTTCTAATGAAATTAATGTACAAGTATTATAATTCTCCGATATACGCTCGCAAATTTATATATAAATACGCAAAATCATTTGTTTGCTTCCTCCATTGCTTTCTTCAATGTTTTTTCGAATATCTTTTTTGAGTCGCAGAATCCCTGTTTTGTCTTGCCAAATGAATTCGGTCCGGCTGATGTCGGTGTTTCGCGACCAATGTTTCGCATTCTCATCCTTGCTTCTGCCGGCATCTCCTCTGGTTCTTCCTCCTCGTCTGCATTAAACACCGAGGCTACTGTTGGTTTTTGTACTGTTGCTGTTTTTGTGGTTGACTTCTGATACAAAGGAGAATTCCTTATGCAAGCGTGAGATTTTATGAAAAAGGGAAATTTTATAGCAACTTGAGGATTATCATTATCATAATCCATTATTGCAATTCATTCCATTCTAGTATCAAATAGATCACTCCTCCTAAATGAAGTAAACAGATATATTCATAAAATATTAGCATTAATAATGGATTATGACACGGTGGTAATCCACAAATCATAATATAATTTTAAAGAAAATATTTTTAATAGTTTTAAAAGAAAGATTTCATGGAAAGAAATGTACATAAATTATTAAGCTAAATATAAATGTTTTACTTACGGAAACAGAACCTAATTTAATCTGTATTCCTTTTTTCTGCTCATTGCCAGTCTTTTTTCCAAAGCCAAACGCCAATTTGTGTTTCTTGCCATCCGATGGATCGCAATCATTTGTATCGCTTCGCTCCTCGCTTCTGAGCGGTGAGCGGTCCCTACCTCGATCATCCTCTCTCCTGTCCTCGGTTCTGTAGACACTTGACCCTGACAACGTCAAACACTGGCAAAGTTCAGATCAAGTTAAACAAAGTTGACTTTTTAAAACCGGAAATCTTTAAGCGGATTATGCTTAATGCAGTTCATGCCCTACAAAACCAACAATTGGGAATTAGCTGCGTAAAATCGTGTGAAATTAGAATTAAAAAAATTATTTAAATTCTGAAAATATTGTAATTACATATCATTATTTTGTATTTGATTATGTTTCATGAATACATGTAAATACAAAATAACTTTTGAATGTAATGCCACTGCAGTATTTTTTAAACATTTCGAACAGTGAGTATATGTTAGAAATTAGATATATTTAAAATATTTGACGCAAATAAAAAGCAATGATAATCACATTCTAAGATACATCTTCCATGATGAGTTAGTTAGAGCCCGTGGTAAATGTAAAGAAAAATTAAAAGTAATTAACATCGTCGATTGTTTTCGAAGACATTATTATAAAGCGTTATAAGTCAAGGATTAATCTTCAAGAGATCAACATTTCATATGCGAGATTAATACTTCATATAAAATTGTATATCAGCCCGGTAATTCCGCACTGCGAAAGTAATTGTTCCAAGCGTCTTCGCCAGAAATGTGAAAAAAAAACGTCATTTAACGGTAGCGTATTAGATAAAATGAACAAAACCTTTTCTGTAATCGTCGCTGGGATTTCTCCTTGCCATTTTGTCGAGATCCTAGATGCGCAGCTCAAGCCAGATTCACGCCAAGTATACGTGAGGTAACCTAAAAATCATTACTCAAAATCATCCGTCCGTCATGGCTGCCAATCGTGAAGACGCAAATTCTCTATGAAAAAAAAAGACGGAGTAGCTACAGGCTACATTCCGATATTCACTGCAAGTACTGAAAATCTATAAAATACGTGACCTGAATTATATATATATTTTCAGTATTGGCAATGAATATCGGAACGCAACCACAATTGAGAGACTAGAAATATAGTAAGATTTAGTTCTCTTTTTTATGATAGGTGCTTTCCGTTAGCCAATCAGAATGTTGTCGAGTTATTCAATGTCGATCATTATTGTGAGGTTAAGATTATCGTTCTTTATTTATATGTATAGAAGATATGTATGATATAAGAAAGTATGTAAGAAAAATACAATTATTGAATTATATATCGTATGTATCGTCTTCATACGAATTGTACAAGTAATACTTTATACATATTATTGAAAGGAATATATCCACATCTTCCTGTACGTTTAATTTTGGTAAATTTAATTCAAAATACTACTATTAACTTTTTAAATTAAGTACGTAGTTATACGAACATGATTATATTTGAGGAAATTTTTATTTTAGAGTATGGCTAATATTATAAGGAATATTTTCCTTTTTAAATATTAGTATTACTGTTGATTGTTGGAATTAATTAATCTAAACTATGAATTAAATTTCTATTGTTAAAGTTAAAAAATATATATTTTTTCTTTATTAAGAATAAAGTTAAAAATCTATACATTGATACTTTAGATGTCGTAAAATCTATGCATTGATACTTCACTTTTTCTTACAGCAAAGATGAATACTGGCTTGACTCTTAAATCAATGTATCAAGCAATTAATTTTATGGTACCCAAACTTTTAACAATTCCGACTATCCAAAATGTAGTGACTCATAAGATCCATCATATTTGCGATAGACAAAAGTTAAGCTCACCATGCAATATAAAAATAAATCGTAATGCATTAAATCACAATGCATCTTTTCTCCTTCAACCTGTATTACCTATGTATAATTCAGTATGTGGTTTGAAAGCAAAAGGTCGCTTACAACTACGTTGCAAGGATTGTTATTTTCTATGTAAGGATGAAAGATGGTATGTGATGTGTAAGACGCATCCTAGACATAAACAGGTGAAAATTAAAAAGAAAGAATATAAAACATGGATACTAACATGGGCTTCTCAAAGTAAAATTCGAGGCTGGTAAATGTGAAGAATATATTTATAAAAATGTAAATGTAAATGTTAATGTGTACAGCAAATAAAGTATCAGTGTTTTTAATCATCCACTATGACCTGTTAATTTAAATTTAAAATTACATTATCTATTATTTTTATCTTTTATATGGGTAAGAATTTACTTACTACTTAAAGAATTTTTTTCTTCAGTATTTTTATAATTTAAATTAAAGATAAATTTTATAATTTAAATTAAGATGATGTTTCAGGCATGACGCATTGAAAATAATAATTTATGGTTATATATTATTTAATAATAGAAAAACAACAGTTTATTATTAAAAATGTATTATTATACAGATTATTATAAAGATTTTATATTTATTATATTTTGTATTATGTATTAATGTTAATCTAATATCTAATTCATATTTATAATATGACATGAAATAGTAAATATATAATACATATGAAAGATTAATATTATACTATAAATATTATAAATATATTTTAATTAGAAAAAAGATAAAAGATTATAAAATAGATACAAGATTATAATAGAGACAGTATATTTAATTAAGTTAAACCTAACATAAGCTAAAAGGCTTTGTGTGTGTGTGTGTGTTGTTTTTAATACCCGTGATATATATATATATATATATATATATATATATATATATATACATACACATATATATAACATCACGTGTATATAAATAAAAAATTTTGCAAATGTACATTTGCAATGTATATTTTATTGTGGGTATCATTTTCCCAATTAATCATTTTAAATAAGTACAAAACATTATGTAGTAGACGTTTTATAACAATTTTATTTATCTAAAAATTCTGACTAAAACAATGCAAATTTACTACAAAAGATTTTGAGAATTTCAATTGTTTAATATTCCGTAAGATTAGAACTAACAGTACAAAAAGTGTCTTTATTTAATTGATATATAACTTTCAAGCATTTGGGGGCGTTCAATATATCAGTAGTTTCATGTTTCGTAAAATTTCTGATTATTATGCTACTATAATGAAGAGATTTAGTCGAATCAGAGCCATTGGTTCGTTCCGATCGAGATGAGAATACTACAGATTTTCGGATTTTTCGTTATTCTTTGGCATAATCAATTAGGTACGTCAAATAATCTACATTTATATATATATATAGATTAATAAGTTATTATTATTATTTATTTTTACATTCGGTAATATAACGATTAAACAAATGTCATCAACTATTTTTACGTTATAAAAGCTTTAAGAAGGTATTCAAATAAAAGTAAATTAAATTAAATTAAATTAAATAAATTAAACTAATTAAATTAATCAGATTATTGTAATTAAAAGTTAATATTAGTTTTTATGTTTTTCTCTTTTTAGATGCTTATGTTTTCAATGATCCACAAGATGTTATAATGGAAGGGTGCAAGAAGTTAGAAAGTACGACACCGCTATTGCGTCTTAAAAAATATCTTTTATGTAACTATGATATGACTATCCGTCCGAATCATCATAGAACAGTTACTAATGTCACTCTTCGGTTGATGCCGAAATTGATGGAATTTGTAAGTACATCAATGTAAATTGTATAACATGATTGTGAAATAAATAATTACAATATATTTTATAAGCGCGTTACACTCTAAATATAAAATTTGGAAAAAGCGTGTGATGTATTCTTTTAACAAAAATTTTGTTATCTAGATCATCACATTTTAGTAATCTTGTCTTACATCTTTTAATTTTTGATGTAGGACATGTCTTAATTTAAAAATTAAAACAATTAGAAAATTAGATTTTAAAACATGTTTTAATTTAAAATCTAATTTTCATGTTCTTTCTGTTTTATTCTTTATTCTTTCTGTCTTTAAAATTATTAGATAATATATAATGTATAAAATTAGACAATTTTACTTGTAGACTGGTGGTGTACTGACACTTCACAGTTGGATGTCATATGTGAGTCTAGAATATTTTATTTATCATGTCACGTTCTTGTTTTAATAAGATATTAATTGACAGTCTTGGACGGATATGCATCTTACTTGGACGCCAAGCGATTATGACGGCATTACTTATATTCATTTGAAGACATATCATCTTTGGATGCCTGATCTATATGTCTATAATTCGTAAGTCAATTTTTATACCACTATCTATAAATAAGCTAATGTAAATCGTTCAAAGCAAAGTGTAAAACATTATTATGAAGAAAGTGTTTACAAATCATATCTAAAGAAATAATTTGATAAAGAGAATCTAAAAAATTCAATTTTTTTAAGCTATAAAAAATTCGCATAGATCTAACATAGGTATTTAACATAGATTTCCAATTTCTGGTTATCATATTTTTTAAATCAAATTATTTGTCATATCAAAAATAAACTTTTAATTTTTTTATATTAGCATTTATTTATGTAATGTAAATGCAACTAAATGCTTTTTTTATTTTTTAGTGGTGATATGTCGAATGATGAATATAATATTATCAGCACGAACTGTCTGATCTTTAATACAGGTTCTGTCGTTTGCGTACCCCCTGCAAAATATGTTTCAAAATGCGATCTCGATTATACTTATTGGCCTTATGATCAACATACATGTCGTATTATACTTGGTTCATGGTCGCATACGGGAGAGGAGATCGATGTACATTTAGATGGAAAAGGAGTATGTAAATTACTTGACTTATTATAAAATTGCAATCTTTTTTTT